AATCGAAAATACCCAGAGCGAAATTTCCCACCAGGATCCTAACAGATCCCTGAATAATCCGACGTCATCCGACAACCGGATCCGGTCGGATACCGACTGTCGGAATTCCCATTATATCTCTTGAGGGCGTGGATTTGAGTGTGGATGTGGGTGTGCTGTTCGTATGTGAGGGGGTAAGCCGTCAGAAAAAGTTTCTGCAGAGGGAGCAAAAATCTACTTCACTATTGAAATAACTTGTTTGCTCGCGAGCGATTCTAGCCGTTGCCGCACTCGTACACACGCCGTCATATTCATAGAAGATCTTCTCTTAAACTAGACATGTTCATGTCAAAAATGATATTTGGAGATGAAAATCGGACAAATCAATCCTTGAGTTGCAATGAAGACACAGTTCAAAGTACAAATGAATGTGGCTGGCTATAGATTGTGAGTTTGATTTGATCAAGATACGAACTTCTGTAAACTGCTGATAATAAAAGTGCAAATATAAAAAACAAAATTTGTGCTCGAAAAGACTCTAAGTCGTCGTTACATAGCGAGTCGATAATTGAAAATAACAGTATACGTATTTCGAAATGATGGCATGAGCCTATTAAATGCTTATATCGTAGAAGTAATCTCATATTGCTATTAAAACACTTTTTCCTTCTATAAAGATTACTTTTCCAGAGAAAAATTAAGTGCTTAAGAAAGCAGTGAAGCAATATCGAATTTCTATTTATCGAAAAATTGCGCTGTACACTTCTTTAGCCTTGGCGAGTGCAAAAAACATCATCTCTTCATTAGATATAAATATCGGTATTGCCACTATTCTGTTTCATTTCAAAGCCAGTGATGGTTTCAACAGTAGTTCGTTGTTTCATATTCCTTCTATTCAGGTAATACTAAAACCTATTTTTTCATATTCATCTAATGTTGAACCATTTTTCTTTTAAGCCTCACAGGTTTGATTCTTGTTTTGTTTTCCATTTCTTTCTACTAATTTTGTATGCCAGTAGTTCGAGTCCAATGTCAAATATGCTATGGAATGTCTCAATATGATCGATGTTCGTCGAATAGTGCATGTGCCTGTTTCCATATGAAAGGCGCTAATAACACTGGTATTTGCGGGTTCCAATGGGTGACTTGTTCTGAACTACATGAATGCGAACGCACAAACAACGATTGTTATGAATCTGATCATATATGTGTTCATCATCCTCGATGTAATACTCGTCCTGTCTGTTATCCTGTGTCAATGATTGATCAACAAATTTGTCCACCAATAACAAGTAAGAGAACAAGCAGGGATCTACAGATCGAAGTGAAACTCACATCTTTCTTAAAGTTATGTTTTTATTGTTCACGCAGCCTCATATATGTAATTCATGTTGACGTAGGAACAGTGGCAAAGAGCCGAAGAGCCTTTGAAAAAAGTAAATTACGTATAGCGAAGAGGAAATGAATTGTAATTATTGGCGGAAGGATTACGTCTCTACTCATAGACTATATCCGTTAATCTGAAATATAGAGTCTGCTGCAGTTATACATAGCAGTACATAAAGATGCAATGAGCTTTTGAATGTATATCAAAGACTGAAAACAACTGAACAATTGATCAGTCGATTCTATTCTGTAGAACGTGTCATATGTTTGGATCTTCATAAGTGTACAACAATTCTATTGTATCACATTTCTCTTTAGTCATAGTTTTCGTTGCATACTTGACTGCTTCTTGTGAATATTGAGCTCACTCAGCAACCTTTGTGTCAAAATAATTGTGATTGACATCTAGCTCGAAAGAACGCATTTATAATACTCTCTATAATATTTCTAATGACTAAACTTGCAAAATTGAAGATTAATCATTTCGCTGTGACACGGTAGCCGCTAGAGGTCAAGAGAGCTTTATCGATTGAATGGGATAAATAAGTCACTAGTTACTAGTAATTCAACTGTGTATGCGAATAGTTTTTGCACAACTTATAACACCACTGACTTAGCTGTCTCAGAAAGATACTAATAAGCGCAGAATGCATCTTATCGGTCCATCTTTGAAACGGCTACTTCTTTTAGAGGCTATGTCTCAATATGTTGAAGTTTGGAGAATTTTTCTTGAGAGAAGAATTTATAAATTTAGATTCTGACAGTGAGAGAGACGAAAGAGAGAGAAAATTTGGAACAATTTATCTCTACATTATTATTCTTTTTCTTTCGAATATCCCTTTAAAATCATTTCACTCACACTATTGATATGATGACAGAGTATTCTAATGGTCTAAAATAAACACACTGACAGGCGGGCGACTTATGTAAGAGATTGAAATTACAAACTTCATACTTCGAATGATAATTTTGTACTGCAACGGCAGCCAATGCATTTAGATCTTTGCTCATATTCAATAGACAACAGAAGTGATGAATTTGAGCAGGACGATCTTGATGGATTTGGTTTAATTCAGCTGAATCACAGCAAGCTGAATTATCGAAAATTCTACTGAGTTTTCGATCTCTGATGAACACAGAGGTTTTCCATCGAGAATCAGTTTTGAAAGAAAAAAGATCCCTTTTCAGATCATTTGACATTGTCGCTCTACTTTAAAACACTACTTCAATTCTACTTAACACTTAAGTGCATCGGGTTCTATATTATATTCTATTCTATGTCAGACCTATAACGATCTGCTTCATTTATACAAATTTTCTATGATAATGAATAGCGACAAATACTACAACTAGTGCTAAGCAGCTAGGCAAACTCTAGTTGAACGCTTTTTGACTTTGGTCAATACTAATTTTTAATTAAGTATATATAGTTGCTTTATATGCAATATTATTTTGCAGCTAGATAACGATTACATTGATAAGACCAACGATTGTATATCATAAGTAGTTCAATATTTAGTATAAATAAAAATCAATTAATAGTAATCTCCATGTTGACTATTTTTCGTCACTATCGAAGTTTGATTTGTTTTGTTGACGGCTATAAAACGAAACCCATTCTTTCTCTTCATTTGATACAACTACATATGCTGCGTTTTAACAAAAAGTGTTTTATTTGTATTCAATATAAAAACCATTTGACTTTAGATGCTATAAGAATTCACTTTATCGTCAGCACTTCCTCATTCTCATCTTCGCCTGAATTCAGATAATCTTAAAGTCAGGTGTCTAAATTCTAGCGGACATATTTTTCGAAGCATTCCATTCCTAGATTTGGCTACTGAAATCACAGAGAGCTGTCTTTTTTTAGTTTCCGAAAGAGAATACACATTGTACTGTCGCATGATATAATATTGGTCAAGACTGATTAGTTGAGAGCGTGTGTGAATATGAGTCTACTCTTGATCGACACATTCACATCCTTTCATGTATTCATTCAACCAATCACAAGCATAACTGGACGCTGTTTATCAGTCGACTAGTTGAACGAGTATACCGGTCGCTTGGATTAGATCAGAATTAATGAGAGCAGTACCAGTACGCAACACAAAATTCAGACCAGTTCCATCTATAGAACACGACCACACGAACAGCCATCCATACCTCACCAACACAGCCATATCAACACACAATCTTTACCACACGAACCACTCACATCTCACTTCCACACTCAGCACCGCTCACACCCATCCAGTTTGAAAATGCTGATTGGACGAGAGCTAGATAGAGAAAACATCTGATTAGCTGAACTTCCAACATAAAAAAAAACCTATGTCACCAAAAATGACTAGTAAAAACACCTGATTGGCTGCGTCATCATTATGGTAAATTTGATCCCTTTAATATCGTCCAATCTTTAGGGATACGTGTCCACATGACTGCACACGTGCCCACACACATACAAATATAGCCACAAATGCATTTTATTTTACGTGATCTTTCTTATAGTCGAGGGAACATTGTTCTAAATGAGAGGCGTCAATTTCGAAAGATCCGTGTGGAATTCTGGCAGTTTTGCTCAATTGCTAATACATGCAAGCCTTACTATGATCTTGCTAAGCTTCTTTCCTTATGTAGCTCTATATCCTATCCGAATTCTCCTTCGAACAGCTTGACATAAGCTCACAAAATCAGGTTAAACCCTACCTGCATTTTATATGCGAGTGTTTAGGAGACCCTTCGGCAGATTTGCATTCATAATCCAGAAAATCATGCGATCAGAAATTTTACTGAACGATGTGAAAAGTCTCCTAAAAGATGTTTACTGGATCCTTAGGGTTCTCAAACGCATACTGAAAATAATGCACATTTGTTCTTCAAGGATTCGAAATCTTCATTCTTCTAATCCTCCTAACAAGATCCTGATAGCATTTTCTCAGGACTTTTTTAGTTTCGGAGTCTAATAGAGTTCATCATTTTTTTGCTTAAATCCTTGTCTGGAGTCCATATAAATCCTTCCAGGATGTGAGCTTGCTAGTACCCTTTCTGATAATCATGCTAAAGCTCTGCATTGGAGATTACGAATAGAATTTTCATATCTTTATGTTTTCCTATCGAAAGCATGCATAGAATTAGTATTGCTCTTTCTCGAGAAACCTTCTTTCAGCAATCTGTAGGTGTAGTCTTTAACTATCACGAAGATTCACCTTTTTAGGATCTTAAAGATCTTCACAAGAACTAGAAGTGCCATAGATGTAAGAATCGTTACCAAATCCTTTTTTTCATAGGAAACTAGGAAAAAAGTCGCCTGAACTTTTATCTGCAGAAAGAACACTCTCGAAAAATTGGCCAAGTTCCCTTCGAAGACAAATGTCGTATTTGTAGCTCTTGCTCCTGCGAGAGAGGAAGATCTCTTCGACCAAGGCGATGACAATTCTTTTTCTTATTTGTTAATTGTAGCGATTCACAATATTCCAGTTAATGCTCAATGGACACAGGATGCGACGACTGTCGCTGGAGATCGTAAACAAGGCAATGCCACCAATCAAGTTCACAATCCTTACTCTGTCCACGTTGATGATGATCAAACGATAATCATCGCTGACCACGGCAATCATCGTATCATGAAATGGAAGATGGGTGATACAAATGGACAAGTGGTGGCTGGTGGCCATGGCGAAGGAAATCGATTGGATCAATTGATATGGCCAACTGATGTGTTGATCGACAAAGAGATGGATAGTCTCATTATTTGTGATCATATGAATCGACGAGTCGTACGATGGTCTCGTCGTAGTGGCACAACTCAAGGAGAAATCCTCGTCGACAAAATCACATGTTATGGATTGGCTATGGATGATCAGAGAAATCTCTACATTTCTGACTTTGACAAAGGTGAAGTAAGACGATATCCAATAGGAGACAAGAATGGAATTCTCGGGGCTGGTGGTCGCGGCACAGGTGCTGGTCTCAATCAACTTACCGGGCCAACCTACATCTTTGTTGATGAACAACAGGCTGTCCACATAACGGACTACGGCAAAGAGCGTGTGATGAAATGGAATAAAGGTGCAACAGAAGGAATTGTCGTCGCTGGGGGTCAAGGCCAAGGGAATGCTTTGACACAATTGTGGAATCCTTACGGACTGTTCGTCGATACGTTGGGTACCATCTATGTGGCCGACGCGGGGAATAATCGAATCATGCGTTGGCCTAAAGGAGCGACGCAGGGCACTGTCATTGTAGGTGGAAATGGCTTAGGAGAAGGAGCAAATCAGTTTTACCTTCCTCGGGGTTTGTCCTTCGATCGATATGGCAATCTCTATGTCGCCGATTTTGGAAATAATCGTGTTCAACGATTTTCTATCGAATAGACTCAAAAGGATGATTGCTTTTTTTCTTTCCTTTCCAGGGTTGCCAAATCTCCTGATTTAGCCAGGAGACTCCTGGTTTTTAGACTTTTCTCCTGGCGAAGAAATCTCCTGGATCCAGGAGCTGGTTTTTATGATTTTCTCCTGATTTCTCCTGGTTTTTTAAAGGATTTGTCACGTTCAATTGTAGTGATATTTTGAATCAATAAGACAAAGAAAAAGAGAACTATCATACTATTTCATAGATGCAATAGACAATGAGAAAGCAGTCGTTTCTGCTTGTTATGCCCGATAATATGCGTTTATTTGTGAGCTTATCTTCTTGATGGTTAAAATGTACCTCATGGACAAAAACTAGTTTAGTTCGCTTTTTCTATATCAACCTAGAATGCTATTTGTGAATTGACCTTCAGCCACATGGAATTTTTGTGGGCTCCTAATAGAAACGAATTGAAGTGCAATCTTATTGGTGCATAATTAGGAACTAAATGAATAATTATTTCAGTTATACAAAGTTCTATAATTATCTTTTAAATAATTCAAACCTATTGAAACAAATTCAGTCTTTAGAAAAATATGGCCATGTTCATAGGTGGCGAAATGTTTTGGATCTAGGGTAAGCTCAACAATTTTTTACAAGATTCGCATCAGAAAATTAAAAATGTGGAGTAAGCCAATTTTTTTGATGCCATCTTGATGAAACAAAGTTAGTGTTTTTCATTTCAAACTCGTATTTCGTAATGTATGACACCGATAGAGATAAGAAAAGCATTTGCAACTTATGTGTCAAAAAACGTGGATTTAAGAAAACATGTCGATGCTTATCTTTATTGACTTTCAACTCTCGAAAGAATTGTTTTTCATCTGCTTTGCTAAAAGACAAAGTAATATCTAAGCAGCAATGTTCACAAAAACGACATTACATTATGAATGTTTTTAGTGTGTTGAAAAGATTTTGTTCTGCAGGAATATTTTTTTATACTCGTCGTTTTCTTGCTTCATTTCGTATGGTAATGGGAACTCCATTAAGTATTGGTGTTGCCGCATTTTGTCTCGTGTTTGCATACATATTCAGATACATGTATGTAACAGTTTTTTATTTTTACGTAACTAACCTACTGTAGCTCCAATCATAATTATATTTTTAATTTGAAGGCCTGTCACGGCTATCTTAAAATCTAAAAATAAAATAGAAATATGAATTCCTGAAGTCTTACGATTAGAAGTGTAAATCGACGAGCTGAGTCGTCGCTGTCGGTAGAACAAAAAAATTAACAGTTTTGAAGATTTTTCGACGCGTGAGATCACTTGTCAACGATGTTTCTGTCTAGATTTTTTTATCAGTGTGTCCTCTACCATTATTTTCTCTTTTTCCATCCGACAATTTCTCGGAAATAAGAAAACCTTAAAGAAATCGTCCAACAAATTCACTCGTCTTCACCGACAAACAAAAAAAGTTGATTATTTCCAGTCGCTACCGAATGAAGAAAAAAATAAAATCGCACTTGCACACCGCCGACCTATGAACTGGTTTACGCTTCTGCTTGCGGAAGTGGAAATAAATTTTTTTCTGAGAACGAGAGTGTAAGAACAAGAATAACTATTTTTTACTGAGAAAGAGAGTGTAAGAACAAGAATAACAATTTTTTTCCGCGAAAGAGAATATATGGGCGAGAACAACAAATTTTTCCTGAGAACAGAAAGAATAATCGAGAAAAGTTGCTCTCATAACACTAACGATCGGGTATGTAAATTTACTTGCTAAAAATGATGAAAGTCTTTGGCAACTACTAGCTGATATGGTTCAGGTTTTTTATGCAGTAATTCGTCACTTTTAACAAAAGAACCCCAGTTTAAATCATGGCTGATCCAAGATTGGACATTTAGCCACACAAAACTAAAAG